CTGCTATGTTTAGCACTTTAAAGTACCTCTGTACGGAATCCTAGTAGATCGCCCGCTACCTACGCTGCCTGGCTCATCTGTCTGGTTGTCCTCTGGAGAGCTGTACAACCAAGTGCGATCGGATGGCGCATGTACCTTGCGGTGCATCACCACCGCCTTGCGCCCGCCTCGACCCGAGTGGCTTGCTCTCTTTTCAGGCAATCCGCCCACCAACCAATCTACCTGTCGACCACAGAAAAGTGGAAGGCTGGGACTTTCATGAAAGCTGAAGCGTTGAATCCGTGTGGGTGGATGACCTCAGTGGGCAAGGCCAGCCGCTGCGCTGCCACAATGTGGAGTGATCGAGGGGGATGGCACGGAACCAGTCCTTCGCTGCCTCTGACTGGCTGTTGAAGCGCTCCTGCATGCTCGTGCGGGCGCTCAGTTGGACACCTTGGTCTCCAACCCAACCACTGCTAAAAAAGTGACGGATAAACTTTTCCAGAAACCTTGGCGAGTAATATCGGGGTTGGATGCTGGAGACTTGATGTCATGGGATCCTGGAGCGTGCTGATACTGACATTTCCCTTACACACCTACTACTCCGTAGTAAAAAAAATCTCGGAAGGAGAGGAAGAACGCTGCCAAGTCACTGGCGGGGGTCGACCCTGGACGGTTGTTCCCTTCGGAAACGCGCGCAAGCAAGTTGGCGGCGAGGATAGCTACGCGATACTTGATAGGGATCTGAATTGATATCTGTTCCTGCTTCGGAACATCGGTCAGAAGTTGGTCCCGATCACTGGAACCGCGAGGCTGAATGGGGCTTTATCTCCAGACGACGGACGGAGGATTCCCAAAAGGGGCAATGATGGAGGGGAGAAGGGAGGCTAAAACGAACTACGGCCGGTGCTGCCTGAGGGCTCCAAATTAAGACTCCCCAACGGGGAATGGCGCCGTGGCAGTTGGCACCGAGGCAGGCACCAGGGCTTCCTCTTCGGGAAAGGGGGCAGGGGTGGGAAAAACCACCTTTGGGAGAGCTAATAATATGTCACGAACTCACGATCGCTCCGATTCCTCGTACCAGAACGGTGCCTTTGCATGCGAGATAGCTGGACGGTGACCATGCGAAGGATCCGGGTCATCCTCCTCGACGGGCTACTATTAGGTGCCTGGGAGATCCGCTATCTCGAGAAGATGAAAGGGTCCTTGATCACTATCTAGGTAATAGGTCGATGACCTCATACCTGATTGGAAGATTCAAGAACCTCCCGTGGGACATTGGAGCGTCCTCACCTTCCCTACGGAGTAGTCGGGTGTAGACAGGTAGGGAAGGACCGGGATGACCTGGTCGACCTGACTCTTTGATGGCCAACAACATGGATGGCCTTGAATCAAGACCCAAGCCATGATCATGGGAATGCATGGTCATTCGGGATCAATGGCACCAGCTGGGCAAGCAACAGGAAAAAGCAAAGGGCACCGGCAAGGAGGGCATGGCCGTGTAAGGCTCGGTGCTGCACCTCCTACAGTCTCTGCCTTAGTCTGCCGTATAGTGACAGGGCAGCTCATCCTGCCAGATGTACGAGGGGTGAGTTAGTCCAAACTTTCTGCGCAGAGTCGTGCTTTGGTAGGTAGGTATTATTAGGCTCCGTATTAGCGTATCAGGGCCCCGAAAGGCCAAGGATCACGGAAAATGAAAATCGCCCCCTTCCCCCACCAATGTAAAGAGAATCGCAGAGTTGCCGCAGCCAATTAGTATGGAGACCATCCTGTACCAATCTGACCTCCATACGATCCAAATAAAGCCTGAGCAAAAATAACCGTAACCAGAACCAGTGCTTCTTCTTTTCCCTCTCCCTGTGGTTTCTGCAAATCTGCAGCCCCGACTGATCTTTTGCCCTTGGGGGATCCACCGGTCAAGGCGGCATGGACCGCTCGAACGGCGTCTGCTGCTATTCTTTGCTAACACAGAATTAGCCTGTTGCTGGATTTGGGGGGGGGGGGGGGGTCGTTGGATGATTATTCACCCAATACCCAATGGTAAGATTCTTCTCACCAAATAATAATCATTAATCATTATTCCGGGAACAAAAATAATCATAACGATCCTGGTGGTTATGACTTATGACTTATGATTTTAGCCTTGGGCTAACCTACCCTGACTAAGAACACCCTCCACTTAGGATTTCCCCTCTTTGGTGAAGGGCCCGAATATTTTTTTTTGTTCTTTTTTTTTTTTTTTCTTTCCCTATCTTCTTCTTACGGGTGCAAGTACTATGTAAAGAGAGAAAAAAGAGAAGTGAAATTCAATAAGAAAATAAAATAAGATAAAACAAAAAATAAAAATCCTCTTTTAGAAGGGAAGAACGTTAGCTTCCTTCCTCCTTCGAAGGCTTCCCCGTGACCCGACCGGACCCTGGGTGGTTCCTGGTGAAAGGAGAAAGATGGGCGCCTCGGAAGGTTCGTAAAAGAAAACCATCGATGGGTATGGGCCGGTACTAAGACTCCATGGGACTGGTAGTCTAGCGGTTGAGATGTGGAGGACCACCGCCAGCCCAGGGACTTCCACGATGGAGCAAAAAAGATCCATGGGCCAACCAGCCATTTGGTCTTCAGATTTCAGGGTGTTATGATTCCCCGAAGAACCTCAGGTATAATTATAACAACACACACAACTGAGAACCGGCCGCCGTTGGATCTGCCCCCCCTCCGCGAGTGAATTTCATAGAGATTGAAGCATCCTTCAATTTACTATTTATTTATATCATTGCCGGGTGCCATACCTCGAGGGTTAATTGCACCAATATTACCCTTTTTTCCCTACCTCCCATCCTCCCTCCCACCCAGCACATCCCCGCCACACTAGGCCATTGTCGCCCAGTGCTCTCTCGTTTCTTACCACCGCATCCTCGGCTTAAGTGGATTGCTTTAAGGGAAAAGTAATATATCTCTCGTCATCTCTTGTTTTCCCTCTTCCCCAGCTATCAGTCTGGTTCTTTTTTTAATCCTCGACTACTTCTCTCCTCATATTCCTCCCTCCCACCCCTCCCCACCTTTTATTTCCCTGACACTGTCTGTTATGGCACAGTGAAGGTTTCATTCGTGACTTTTTTTTTATTACCCTTTCACTCGCTCGTCTCACGCCCACCTTACACTCGCTTTGTTTGGTATCGACAAGTATCATTACGTTCGCTACGTTTGTGTTGATCGACGAAGAAGGAAAAAATAAGGAAGAAGAGAAGCATTTATTGGCAGGACGGATTAGGAACTGATCGGTCTTATTGGATATCCTAATCTCTAATCTTCACGGATCTCACGCGCTCGCTGATTGTTCGACAACCTTCGCTTCTGTGCTATATCTGTTTAATTGCCTCGAGCTTGTCTCCACGCCAATCCGACCCGAAGAAGAGGGGGCTCGACGACAGTGTCTTATTATTCCCGACGGAATCAAGTCGCTGATTGATTGAACGCCCACTCCTCCTTTCCGTGTCGTGCGGCCTCCCCAGCTGTGCGTTTGCCTGGTTCCTTATACGTCGGATCTATAGAGCGATCCCCGTTTGTTGCGCGGGAAGTACCCCAAAGGACGATCATCATCCGCCCCCGTTCTCGCTATCGTCTCGACAGTGGCCCTTCACGATTGGTACGAAACGAATAGAAAACAAAATAAAATAAGCCAGTACGACATTATTTTATTGCAGGCTCCGGATTCGCCCTTCTGTCTCAAGTGGCTACGAAAAGACCGTGTGGATCGTCAGCCAGCCGACTCGCCAACCTTGTCTCTGTGTAGTCCTCCTTCACGAGGTCGGACCTGGACTCAAACCATCGTGGATCGGTGTCTCGGCTGAGGGCACCACCTTATTACGAACTAGCAGGAAAACGTCTCAAATAGGCGTCCCCTTTGGTCTGAAGGCTCGCCCTGTGTGGAAGTCATTGGTCTGTTAAGGTTGGTGCCAACCCTCCCTCCCTTTGCCACAGACTCGGCTGGTGCCTTGCATCACTCTCCTTCGTGTCCCCTTCCCTCTCATCCTCCTTGCTTCTCCAAGGTCGTGCCTTTGCCGCACCAGGGCCCAAGGAAAATTAGGGTCCATGATGGGTTCCGTGCGCTTGTCACCTCCCTTGTATGGGTTTCCGTCACCAAGCTCCGGATGTTTGTTGTTAACCCCGTCAAGGTGTAGGCTATCTCGTTAGTCGCTTAGGGACCGTGAATTTTGCATATTAGCTTTCCAAAAGCCTCGCGGACGCAAGTCTCATCTCCTCATTTTTCTTGGTAAGTCCTGCTAGTCTATGCAGCGAGCCGGTTCCCTCACCTCTGGGTGGTTCATACTCACACCCCGGACAGTTCGTCCCTCCGACTACAGGCCCTTCTTCTCCTGGTCCTTCGCGTTCACGAACACCAGAGAGCAGAACAACTCCTGTCTCGGCTCGGTCGGCTCAACCTCGCTCGCTTCGTCAGACAGACTGTCACCGATATTCATCATTGCTGCTGTCTGTGGTGAAAGGCTAACAGGTCGCCATCAGATGGAAGCAGGATTCCTATAGGTAGTCAGAAGAAGTTATCGACAGCGTGGCTCAGTTCTAGTGTCTATCCTGCAGCCACACCTTCGTCATTTTACTCTGGACCATCGAGTCCTGATTGCTGATTCGAAGCTTTTCGTGCCATCTGCCTCATTCGGGCTGACAGCCACTTCGTGTCGTCATTCGTTTTGTCTCGGAGAGCTCGCTAGTGCCTTTCCAACATCCTATCGTTTTCCCAGGATAAATTCACTGCCATTCGCTTTTTTAAGCTGTCGTGTTCTGTTGCAGTCTCTGCAACACCTTCAAACTGGCTTACTCGAAGACGCACGGTGTTTTGGTGAGTCCGGTTTTTCTGCTCGCTGCCCAATCTCTGCTTTTTCTTCCACCTTCCCCGTTTGCTCTCGCCCAGTTTAAAATATTCGATTCATCTGCTGCCTCGCCGCGTGGCCCAGCCTTGTTTTCCGCTGCCTCACACACCTTGGGCCCTGGACTGACCCCGGGCGCTTTACAGTTCAACCCAGAGTTACAAACACCGTTAATTCTAGACGAGTCGTTGGATTTTTCCGACCCTGAAGAGTCACAGTTCCTCGGTGCGTTATCAGACGGCCTTTTGGCCAAGTCTGAACCCATATTGTCTATGTCTACTTTCCAGAAGCCCCCACACGCGGCGTTGATCGGTAAGCACTGCTCGCTCATGCTCATGGCATGGCAGGTTCAGGTCCATTTTTGGGGCCTTGTGAGACAGACGCTGACTCAACCGGTGGTAGACTATGATTCTGCTCGATCTTTGCACGAAGGTGTGCCATATCCGGGCTACGGCCAGGCACCGTATGTGACGGCCACTTCGCTTGTCCCTTCCCCGATGCCCGATCATGCCAGCCAAATATCCGACTGTGTTCCCTACATGGCCAATGGAGAGTATGCCAGCTCCTATGAAGAGAGTCGTTCGCCGATGCTGGCCGCCGAGAGTCGTCAGCTACCGGAAATTGTCTCCTACTCTCCCCAGAGGGGCTCAGAAGGTACCAGAGTCTTTGTCCAGATTCAGTCGCCGTACGATCTCCACACGTCGTCCTATGCCACTGTGTATCTCGTCTTTGGCTCGAAGAAATGCGACTGCGTCCCCCACTTTCTCGGTTTCCAGGGCCCTTTGTTCCAGTATGCCCTGTCAGTCGATACGCCTCCATTCAGCTCCACGGGGTCTCCGTCGTTCGCGGTTCCCTTGCAAGTAGCTTTGAACCACAATGATTGCCATGCCGTCACTCTACAAGTCGGTGTTTATACCTATGAGCATGCTGCGATACAGTCCCCCTCAGACGAGTCCCGGAAGCGACGAGTTCCTTCATACTCGGACGAGACGCTCTCGAGAGCACCCAAACGAATTACTGGCCCACCAATGCACGCAAAAGAGCAGCCCACCGTGTCTTCGGCGGCCTACTCTCCGTATGTGCAGACCTTGCCCGCCATGAACAGCTTTGTCACCCCTCATCACGCGGCTGCATCCCCGAGAGTGCCGACCACCCAGTACTCCGCCTTGTCGACAACGTCCCAGGCGTCCATCCGAGCCCCATCCCCAATTACACCCTCCTACAGCCCTTCGTTTCTCTCGGTCAGTAATGATGCCAGAGGTACCAGCTATGCCGTCAGCCACGCGTTCCGCCAACAAAACCAAGCATCGCCCGGGAGGTTTGGAAACCCAACACTCATTCGGACGTCGACGTTACAGCAATCGGGCGCTTATGGCCAGGCACAGTCATTCAATCCCTACGCTATGTGTCCGACGAAGGCGGTCCTCAAGTTGAACGGTGATCTGGATGCCATGACCGAAAGCTGGTCTCGAGAGGAGCGTGAGGCGAAACGTCGCCTCGTCCAATTCACCCGGATGCAAAGTGGTAGCACGATCCACGCCGATTTCAAGCCAGTCGCCCCCGAGGATCGAGCCCCCAACAGCATCTGCATTAGCTGTATCTACTGGGATGGGAAAGACGAATGCTTTGTTACCAGTGTTGACACCATCTATCTGCTCGAGTCTTTGGTCGGGGTTCGGTTCACGGTCGAAGAGAAGAACCGGATCCGCCGCAATCTGGAAGGCTTCAGACCCCTGACTGTTTCCAAGGCCAAGGCCGACAGTGAGGACTTCTTCAAAGTTATCATGGGCTTCCCTGCCCCGAAGCCAAGAAATATCGAGAAGGATGTGAAGGTTTTCCCCTGGAAAATCCTTAGTCACGCCCTCAAGAAGATCATCGGGAAATACGTGAGTGCTTATTTTCTTGTCGCACATGCATAGGCTAACCGTTGTTCATTTAGTCTGCTAGCTACTCTTCGATTTCTGGAACATTGTCTACCCCGATCAGTTCAAACTACAACAGCACTGGAGCTGCTTCTGATTCAGGAACTGAACCCCAGAACGCTGCATCCCCTCAGTCGGTCTCGGATACTGCTGCTCCGAGCACTTACGGTGCCAGCATTGCTGCTTCCGCCTACACACCTCCCCCCATGACGGGGCCTCCTGACTTGCGGGGCGGGTTGCCTACTGTCAGCCAGCCCTATCCTACGTTGGCTACGCCGTATTCCTACCCGGCTGTCTGTCAACAGCAGAGCCAAGTCGGGCTCACTGCTCCTGTCAGCAGCAGGACATGGGAACTGAATCCTCTACTCACGTCCGCGGCAGCCACTGGGGCTCCCAGCAGCAGCGCTTGCTACAACTACCTCACCCCGATGCCGTATTCCGTGCATGACCAGGCCCACGGGTCTTGAGATACCATGGATTGCGGTGACACGGCGGTGACTTGCATCGGCTGGCGTTTGGCTTCTCTTTTTCCTGCGTTGTGCCTTTTCATTATTATTTGATACCTCTTTTCTTATTGTCATTCCTTGGCTGCGAGACCTTGACTGAGTCGTTCCACTCAGCGATGGATCTCCCGGGTTAGCCTTCTATTTATGATCACTGTGAATGATCTCATGTCTCTCCTTTATCATTTTCATGCCTTGATGCCCAATATCCTCTTCCGCTTTTACGCATTATAGACGATATGTTTTTTCTCTGCCGTGTCATTTCTCTCTTTGATTTTGCATCTTATACGGGCATTAGGGTTTCACTCCTTTACGAAGCTGTACAACTATCTGGCATAGCATGGCGCCGCAGTCGTTCCTTTCAGGTTGCAGGTTTGGGATAGCCCTTGGGATTGATGTACCAGACATCTGGGTTGGCGAGGGATAAAAAGTGTGAAATGGGCTTTGGTATCAATTTTGTGTCATCGTGTTGTTTTCCGCCGCTGGTTTGCCCCTGTTCCTGCATTCCTCATTGCGCCTCTTTGGAGTGAGACTTGTGGTCTCCCCTCGGGGGATTCGATCCAGGACTCTGGTGTCTGGGCGGATCTATATATGCATAGCTTGTGGCGTCTGTGAATATTGCTGTTGTTCTGGTTGGCCTCGCTCGATCTGTCTTGCGGATGAGGTCGGATGTGATTTGACTACCATATAATCTAATACCGAGAGGTCTTTCACCGATCCGTCTGCCCATCGATCTACCAATATCCATAGTACTATTTCGTGTCTGCCAGAGTCTGTCAGAGTCTGTCCGCGTCGGTCGCCACCAGCCCGTTCTCCGGCACCGCGCTGTCATTCCGAGTCGGCGGCCCCGGGATTGGCGGGATGACTAATCCGGCGGGGTTATCTTATCGCCACATCACCTGACCGGGGCGGGACATTCCGCGCAAAAGAAAGAGGAACATCGCCAGTTAGTCAACTCGCTGACCGTGACTCAAACCCACTTTCTTCCCCCGACATCGCCTTCTCTTTTCTTCCTTCCCCCAGTTTTCCCTCCACTACCCTTAATTGTCCCTCTTTGGGCTGTCCCTCTACCGTCTCTTTCCTCTCTCTTAATCAATCCCCCTTTTCTTCCCCCGTATCTCTCTCACGACCGCTCTTTGGGTGCCACCCCCACCTTCCGCCACCATGGATGGAATCAAGAACGCGTTTGCCAGAGCCAAGCAGGAGAAGCGTGCCGCTCTGGTCGCTTACTTCACTGCAGGTTATCCCACCATTGAAGAGACGGTAGATGTGCTTCTGGGTCTGGAAAATGGAGGCGCTGGTATGTCCTTGACCCCACTCTCCCGATTATTTGGACCTCGGAGGACTAACAAGGCATTGGCCACGTGCTACAGATATCATCGAAATGGGTGTGCCCTTCACCGACCCCATCGCAGACGGACCGACCATTCAGAAGGCCAACACCCAGGCATTGGCCAATGGCGTTACTATCCCCATCGTTTTGGACATGGTCCGCACCGCCAGAAGCCGGGGTCTCCGGGCACCCGTTCTTCTGATGGGCTACTACAACCCTCTGATGCAGTATGGCGAGGAGCTTATGCTTAAGCATTGCAAGGAAGCCGGTGTCAATGGCTTCATCATGGTCGATCTCCCTCCTGAGGAGGCTGTCCGCTTCAGAGATCTGTGCGCTAGCGCTGGGTACGTTTGACCGATTCGCCCGTGAATGAACAGCTCGTCTAATCTCTTCTACAGTCTGTCTTACGTCCCCCTCATTGCCCCCGCCACCTCCGAGTCCCGCATGAAGCTCCTCTGCAAGATCGCCGATTCCTTCATCTACGTCGTCTCCAGAATGGGTGTCACCGGTGCCACCGGAAAGCTCAGCGCGAACTTGCCCGATCTCCTGTCTCGTGTTCACACCTGGTCCGGCAATGTCCCGACCGCTCTGGGATTCGGTGTCAGCACCCGCGAGCACTTCCTGTCCGTCCAGAACATCTCCGAGGGTGTCGTTATTGGTAGCCAGATCATCACCGTATTGGGTGACGCCCCTGCCGGCCAGGCGGCTCAGAAGGCCCAAGAATACCTCTCCGGTGTTACCGGTCGTAAACTTGAGAGAGATGCTCAGGGCACTGTGACTGGCTCTGTCAACGTGCTCGATCCCGTTCTCAAGGAGGCCCCTCCCGCACTGTCTCAGCCCACCGATGTCATCACCAACGACGACACGCCCGCTGGCCCTGGTCTGGTTGATCAGATCGAGGCTCTTAACGGCTCTGGCGACCCGGCTCTCATCCCATCTCGTTTCGGCGAGTTCGGCGGTCAATACGTCCCCGAGTCCCTCATGGACTGCTTGGCCGAGCTCGAGCGTGGTTTCGAGGTCGCGCGCAACGACCCCAAGTTTTGGGAAGAATACCGCTCCTACTACCCATACATGGGTCGCCCCAGCAGTCTCCATCTTGCCGACCGTCTCACGGAGCACGTTGGCGGTGCCAACATTTGGCTGAAGCGTGAGGACCTCAACCACACCGGAAGTCACAAGATCAACAACGCTCTCGGTCAGATCCTTCTCGCCCGGAGACTGGGTAAGACCAGAATCATTGCGGAAACTGGAGCCGGCCAGCACGGTGTCGCCACTGCCACCGTCTGCGCCAAGTTCGGCATGGAGTGCGTCGTCTACATGGGTGCTGAGGATGTCCGTCGTCAGGCCCTCAACGTCTTCCGTATGAGACTGCTCGGTGCCTCCGTCGTTGCTGTCGACGCTGGAAGCCGTACTCTGCGTGATGCCGTCAACGAGGCCCTCCGTGCGTGGGTTGTTGATCTGGATACCACTCACTACATCATCGGTTCCGCCATCGGTCCTCACCCCTTCCCGACCATCGTCCGTACCTTCCAGTCCGTTATCGGTGATGAGACCAAGGAGCAGATGAAGGCCCTCATCGGCAAGCTGCCCGATGCTGTCGTCGCCTGCGTTGGTGGTGGCAGTAACGCCGTGGGCATGTTCTACCCCTTCTCGAACGACCCCAGCGTCAAGCTCGTCGGTGTTGAGGCCGGAGGTGACGGCGTCGATACCGAGCGCCACTCTGCCACTCTCTCCGGCGGCAGCAAGGGTGTCTTCCACGGTGTCCGCACCTACGTTCTCCAGGACAAGCACGGTCAGATCTCCGAGACGCACTCCATCTCCGCCGGTCTCGACTACCCCGGTGTCGGTCCCGAGCTCAGTAACTGGAAGGACAGTGACCGCGCCAGCTTCATCGCCGCCACTGACGCCGAAGCCCTGACTGGATTCCGCGCCCTCGCCCAGACCGAAGGTATCATTCCTGCTCTGGAGTCCTCCCACGCCGTCTTCGGCGCCATGCAGCTCGCCAAGTCCATGAAGAAGGGCGACAACATCGTCCTCAACCTGAGCGGCAGAGGTGACAAGGACGTCCAGAGCGTCGCCGACGAACTGCCCCGCCTCGGCCCCAAGATCGGTTGGGACCTGCGCTTCTAAGCGTCACATCTCCATCACCACCCCCCTCTCCCTCCTACCTACCTACCCCCCTCCCCCACCCTATCCTAGAGCTGTTTAGACCTCACACCACCGCATCTACTCTATTCTGCAGCCAAGGATATGTCACCACCTATCTATCTTCCCTACCTGATTCGATTTGGTCAATGAGCGACAAAAAAAAGGAAAAGTCTCTTTTTTCTAGTTCCTGCTTCGTCCTATTCTTTTCGGTTGAGTTGAGTTTGCTTTACTTAGAGTACATATACCAATGCAATCGGGATTCTTTTTGGTTCTTTCTTTTCTACTACATGCTATTAGTACCTTGGTGTAGATGCCTGTGTACTGTAGACAATCATGCACAGATGATGTCTCTATTGAGTAGATCGACGATTTATCAAAGAATCCATGAGCTATATGATATACAACTACGAGAAAAAGGAGTATATGCAGATCGTAGTGGAGGAAATCAAGGCAGGAAGGGAGGTGGAATGACCTCGGCGCGCAAAAGAGAGGCGGCAAACACGGACGAATGGGCAAGTTATAAAGAAGGGAAACAACAGCTTGGCTTTCAAACTCGTGGTATGAACATGTATACTAGACCCACCAAAGACAAAGGCCGGTTTACGTCTCGATCAGATCAGGGGTCTCCGACTGGTTTGGGTCGACGGTGTTGTCGCGGGTGTCCTTGTTGGCGATCTTGCGGGCGGAGCGGGCGTAGAATTCGTCCAGGACGCGCTTGGGGATACGGTTCAGCAGATCCTTGGGGTAGATGCGGAGCAGGTTCCAGGCGATGTCGAGCGACTCGAAGATGGTACGCGACTCGTAGGGAGATTGGTTGATGAAGGTACGTTCGAACTTGTCGAGGAACTCGAGGGAGAGCTTGTCCTCCGAGGACAGGGCCTCCTCACCGACGACGGCCTTCATGGCGGCTGTTTAAGGAATTAGTATGCGAGCATCATATTAATTAGATGAAGGGGAGAACTGACCGGCATCTCGTCCAATAGCGTACTTGGCGTACAGCTGGTTGGACACTTCCGAGTGATCCTTACGAGTACGGCCGGTACCGATAGCAGACTTCATCAGACGAGACAGGGAAGGAAGCACGTTGATGGGAGGGTAGACACCCTTGTTGTACAGCTGACGGTCGACGAAGATCTGTCCCTCCGTAATGTAACCCGTCAAATCGGGAATGGGGTGAGTGATATCTATACTCGGTTAGCTCACGATCTTTGGGTGGATGAGCCAGGGATAGCCATACCATCGTTAGGCATGGTCAGAATAGGAATCTGAGTGATAGATCCGTTACGGCCCTCAACACGTCCAGCACGCTCGTAGATAGTCGACAAGTCAGTGTACATGTAACCGGGGTAACCACGACGACCCGGAACTTCTTCTCGTGCAGCAGAGACCTCACGAAGAGCATCACAGTAGGCGGACAGATCGGTCATGATAACCAGGACGTGCTTCTCCAGCTGGTAGGCGTAGTACTCGGCAGTGGTCAGGGCAAGACGGGGGGTAATGATACGCTCGATCCTGGGAAGGTCAGTTGTCATGTCTACCAGCTGGGACATATGCAGCAACATACGTAGGGTCGTTGGCCAAGTTCAGGAACAGCGTGACACGCTCCATACTGCCGTTCTCCTCAAAGTCGCGAGTGAAGAAACGGGCCGTTTCCATGTTTACACCCATGGCAGCGAAAACGATGGAGAAGTTCTCCTCGTGTCCGTCGTGAACATCCTTCGTGGGGCGCTTCACCAAACCAGCTTGACGACAGATCTGGGCGGCAATCTCGTTGTGGGGAAGACCAGCGGCGGAGAAGATAGGGATCTTCTGTCCACGAGCAATGGAGTTCATCGTATCGATGGCAGAGATACCGGTGGAGATCATCTCCTCGGGGTACACCTTTGCGTCATCCAATCAGCCAGGGTCGCATGCCAGGCGCAGTCGACCAGGTACATACACGAGAGTAGGGGTTGATGGGTTGACCGTTAATATCCAAATAATCCTCCGCCAGGACCTTGGGGCCCTTGTCGATAGCGCGACCGGATCCATCGAAGACACGACCCAGCATGTCCTCGGACACACCCAACTTCAAGCTGTGGCCGGTGAACTCGACTTTCGTCTGGGACAGAGGTCAGCATGCACGTACTTGATTGGATCTGCTGCCTCCGATGGAGGGTGGATTTATCCCCAGTTCCTGGATATATTACCTTTTTGACATCGATACCAGAAGTACCTTCGAAGACCTAGTCATGACCGCAATCCCGCGTTAACGCTCCGCACGATAATACGCAATATCACCGGATCACCACAGCTATAATGTAGCCCGTACCTGAACAACGGCTCTGTTTCCTGCACCGGAAGACTTGAGTTAGCTCTTTCGATCAAATGCGGCTGTCGCAAGCGATGCATGGGTGGGGACATACCTCTAGCTTCCAGGACTTGACCCGAGCGCTCGGTCCCGTCGGGGAGAGTGAGGGAGACGATCTCATTGTAACGGGGAAATTTGACCTAGGATACATTGTCGTAAGTCAAGAGATCGTCAAGTGGCCGGTCCTGATCATCGCAGGCAGCGGCGCAGCGATGCAGGTCGAACGTACGTTATCCAGAACGACCAGTGGGCCGTTGATACCTCCGATGGTGTTATAACGGATGCGAGGTTTGATGTTGGTCATCCTGGGATCGACGAATTCGGACGCCATGGTGGAGAGGGGCTGCAGGAGCAAGCGCACGAGAGGACCGAAAGACCGAAGAAACGGGGGGAAGGAGTTGAGGGGAAAGACAGCAGCAGCAGCTCCTTAGTCGAGGCCGGAGTGTCGACGTATGCTTTGGCTGCTCCACGCCGCCGCCGGGGCGGTGACCAGCCACCCCACGTGATGCTACTACGTCCTTAGTCCAACATTACTAGTCTTCCTAGTTCCTACCAGCTAACTACTCCCTTGATATCTTGGTCAGCACCACCAATCCCAAGAAATCTATTCACAATACTTCGGTGGCTCTGCCTAGCTAGGAATATGCAATTCTCCCCCTTCTACGGAGTATTCGAGTCTGTATGCACAGGACCATGGGGCTGGACTCTCCGATCTAGACCCGCCCGGGGTCCAACTACATACTAACATGAATCTGTCTTCTGTCTTCTTTCTCCCATGACCTGAAGCTATGAGCCTGTCTCTGGCACTGTCTATGGCTCTTTCACCCCACTATGATCAGCACAGGCGCATCTCCCTCGCCCTGGATATCCTCCCATCCCTGGGGAATCCCTGGGGTCTCTTATCTTATCGCCCATGTCATGCCGTGAGATTAGGTAAGCCCACGAACCAATCCGATGCCGGATTGATAGCGCGGAACAATTGCTTCCGGAGGGGAAAGAGACACTGAAATTGTTCGATGACTAACTAGGTTATCGCTGCAGATTGACTCACCAGGCACACTCTATATTCGCCAGAAAGCGTCGCCTCTATTTCTTCAAAGCCCTTCGACCATTCTATTCACACCATGACGGAGTTGAACGCCAGCCAGAGGCTCGCCCTCATCACCGAGAACCTCCAGGAGGTTCTCAACCTGGATCTCATTGAGAACATTCTGGCCGAGGGGCGGAACCCAAAGATCTACTGGGGTACGATTCACCATCTCCTGCAAGTCTATGCAGTCACGCAGTATACTAACATATTCTTTTTTATGCGACAGGCACCAGCCCGACCGGAAAACCTCACTGCGGCTACCTGGGTACAATCTCACTGAAACGTGGCCGATAGGCGCGCTGCTAACTAGTGCATCGGTATAGTGCCGGCTGTGAAGATCGCCCAATTCCTCGCTGCGGGCGCAGAGATGACCATCCTGATTGCGGATCTGCACGCCAACTTGGATTCGCTCAAGTCCACATTCGAGCAGGTTGAATACCGGGCGAAGTACTATGAGTTCACCATTACCGCTCTGCTCCAGGCCGTCGGTGTCTCGACTGAGAAACTGCGCTTCGTTCGCGGTTCCTCCTACCAAAAGAACATGGACTATGTGATGGATGTGTACAAGCTGTCCTCCCTGGTTTCGGAGCACGACGCCAAGCGTGCCGGTGCGGAGATTGTCAAGCAGTCCTCCAATGGTCCTCTGAGTGGTCTCTTGTACCCTCTCCTCCAGGTGCTCGATGAGCAGTACTTGGACGTCGACGCACAGTTCGGAGGCCTTGATCAAAGGAAGCTGTTTGCCGCCTCCACGGAATGGCACCCCAAGCTTGGCTACAGGAAGGTAAGCATAACCGACCACACCAATGATCTATGACTTACATCGCTAGCGCGCGCATCTCTGCAACGCAATGGTGCCCGGTCTCTCCGGTGGCAAGATGAGCTCCAGTGAAGAAGGTACTATTCCGCACATCCTCCCTACAGCAACCGACTTACACCTTACAGACAGCAAGATCGATCTCCTCGAATCCGTGGAGAGCATCCGAAAGAAGATCCGCAAAGCGCAGGCCGCTCCCAAGGAGACCGACAACAACGGTATCCTGGCATTCGCACAGTACGTCCTTCTCCCGGTTTCGACCTTGAAGAACGGAAGTCCGGAGTTCCGCGTGAGCCGTGAGAGAGACGGCCTGGAGCCCCTTGTGTACACCAGCATCGAGCAGATGCACGAAGATTACAAGAACGACATTGTAAGTTGAGGGATCTGCCTATACCTATCCCCATGCTGTCTGCCTCATACTGACCAAACCCAGCTGTCGCCCCAGATCCTCAAGCCCGCTGTTGCGGAGGCTATCGTCGAGCTTACCGCCCCCATCCGGGCCGCCTACGAGGCCTCGCCCGAATGGCAGGAGGTGACGCTGAAGGCCTACCCGCCTCCGGCTCCCAAGCAGAAGAAGGAGAAGAAGCAGAAGGACAAGGGTTCTCGCCACCCGGGAGCGGCCGCGGCGGCGGCGAAAGAAGAGAGCCCCAAGCCCGCAGAGCAATAGACTAGACTACATATCTAGACCGCAAGCATAGCGTCAATTCATAGCCAATGTCTCCTTCAGGTTATTCGAACCCCTTTCTTCTCATTGTATTCCATCAACAGTAATTCCTGCCTGCTACTCACTCCCTTCCCATCCCCCAACACACAAACACACACACACACACACAGAGAGAGAGAGAGAGAGAGAGAGAGAGAGAGAGAGAGAGAGAGAGAGAGAGAGAAACTAAACTATCACCCAAGCCACGATGGGAGCGACGCCTCTAATCAACAGACTCATAATCTTCTCAGCAAAAAGGTGTCATTAATTTTTAATTTTTAGAGCTAATAATGTAGTTCATCATATCCGTCCGTCGTCAGAAAGAATCCTAATCATACATGTTCAGAAGCGAAGAAAGCGAACAACTTGGATGGAAATAAGGAATAATCAGATTTCGACCATAAAATGCCTATGCGCCGGACCGCCATGAATCGGTATCGTAAGGATTAAAGGCAAGGAGGAGAAAAGAAAGGAGAAAGGGAGGAGGGAGGAAGGAGGGAACATTTTCTAGTCGATCTTTGCTAGGGCTAGTTTCTTAGGCGTGGTTAGGTTGTTGGAGAGGCGGACGGTCGTTTTCTTGTTTTTGGTTTGCTTCAGCTTTTTGCGGGCAACCATTACGGGAACGGAGGAGTGCATGACCAGGTAGTTGGAAAAGGAGCCGAGGAGGACGCTGTAGACTGATGAGTTTGGGACATATACATGTCAGGATGAGTACTTACCCCTTGAGTGCGCTGCGGCCTCTCGCACCGACGATCACCAATGTTGGATCGAGTCCGTCAATCTAGGGTTATATTAGCAATAGAATCACAACATAGAAAAGATACGCACAGCTTCGGTGATCATGTGCTTCGGGCTCTTGCAATGGATCGCCTCGACGGCCACGCGGACCTGGAGCAGCGTCTTCCGCAAAAGCCGAACGCAGGTTTGGGAAATAACCTCGACGGCATGGACGCGTTCCGACTCGGCCTTGGACATGCCTCGAGCATCGACTGAGCCCGGCTTGCTGTCCGATCCCAGACGACCAAAGAGCGCGCGGGGAAGATGGGAGTTCGAATCATTCTGGGCCTTTTCTGCCGTCTCTGCTGTCTGCGAGCCGACCACGGCCGCCGCATCTTGCATCGCCTTGGCCCCGTCACCAATTTGCACCGATGCCGGTGTAGCCGTCTCATCGTGCATGGCGCAGACCGCATACATGGTGTCTCCGTCGCGCAAGATAGTTCCGATCGTCCACTCTAACGCATACACTGATTCCTCACTCAAGTCTGTGGCAACGAGGTACTTGCGTTGCCGTCGGCGGCTGCCCTCCGTCTCTTCCTGCAGATCGGTGTAGTCTCCGCGGATGATGGTCCGGATGGATCGATGTTGAACGGTACTGTCGATAGCGGACATTTGAATGCCCAATTTCTGGGCCCGCTTGATATCGCACAGCTCAGCTTCATCCTCAGATCCGAACGGAGTGTTGGTCGCCGAGGCCGAGTCGAAGCTTGTCCGTGGATGGACATCAGGCTTCTTCGGCACTGGGCCTTGTTTTGCAGTGTGCATCAACTCTGCCTTTCCGGTTAAGTCATTATCTGAACCTGCACACGCCATCAGTTCGTGCAACAGGAAGGACGGCATGATACCAGCGACCTGGATATGAAGGGAACTACTGGAGAACATGAGAATCATGGGCACATACGGAATACAGGCGCAGTCTTCGTGGTAGTAGGTTGCTTTTGGCCAGTGTTGGTGGGGGGTTCTTTGTCGACGGTTTTCTTCCTGCCACGCTTGACTTCCGAGTCGTCCTCATGACCGGCCTCGTCATCACTGGAGGTAGATTCGCCGACATCCTCGTCGCTGGTCTCAATCGGATTGTTCTCATTGTCAAAATGATCTTTCTCCAGTCGCGCCTCACCTGGAGCTGACGACTTGGCTTCCACTTCTGGGGACCCAGGGCGGGATTCCGGACTGGGTTCTTTGGTCATATTCGTCGGAGGGCTGGTGTCTTTTTTCATGGCCACCACAGGTTTCCCCGGATCGGCGACCTGGCCACGCGCATTGGGGCTCAGCCAGCGGCGTTTCGGGGAGTTGGAGCGACCCGGTCGGAGTGAAGAGACCCGTGAATCCAGGGATGCTCCCCGCGTGGAGTTGCTCCGGCTGGAGTCTCTACCTCTGACAAAACTCGGGAATCCGACTTTCAAGTCGAGCCCCGACATCACCGCCGCCATGCTTGGCAGCCGATTGGATGACTTCTCCTGCGGCTGAGCAGTGCGTCTGGATGCATTGCGGTTGGCGACGCTGGGCGGCATGTCGGTGGACGAATCCCAGCGGATGCTGGGGCCAGACTTGTGTTCCGGCTTAATTTTGGGTTCGCTGCTGGTGCCGTTGTTGGTGTTGTTGTCTCCGGACTTTTCCTTGTCGCCTGACACCAAGTCGGTGGATCGGGTGGGGGAAACAGACCCGTCGGATTGGACGGAGCCTTTCCTCTGCGCAGAAGGTAAAGGGGGCGCCACGGCGGACGTGGTGGTTGCCGTAGTCGTGGTGCGAGGGGATGGTTGAGGCGTGGTTGGGGTTGCCGGCGTCAGGTTGAAAGTTGTCGCAGTCGCGGTGGAAGAGGGACTGGTGGAGGAGCGGCGTGAAGATGAAGGAAGCGGAGACGGCGAGGAATAATAGGACGAGTAGTGTGAACTAGGATGACGGACGGCCGAAGACGAGGGGGAAGTCACGCCAACGCCAATGCCGGCGATGGAGCCATGCCGCGGGGGCAAGAAGCCGGGACTCGGAGAGATGTCCAGCAGGCTCCGGCGCCGGTACGAGGCGGGCGAGGGACCCTCGCCCATCTCCTCCAGCAGCTCCCGGCGTTCTTCCTCCAGGGCCGTCTCCAGCGACATGTGGGCGGGTTTCCTGCTATAGTACGGCATGACGGGCTGTGGGGTATGGCCTCGCGCGGTCTTTGGCTTTGTGCGGGCGGGTTCCAGGCACTAACCGTGGGCTAACTGATTAATGTGATTCAGTCGGCGACTAGCTGCTCTGCCCAGCTTTCAGATGTGGAGAGAGTGATGATCGTTTGCTTGACACCTTGCTCTCCTCCAGTGTCCCCAGGTTCCCTCCCGTTCGCTGAACCAGGTTTTGAGGTTCTTGTCAGTCGTGACAGTTCCGAGCAGGCAAGTTCCCCGGGTTGGCGCTGAGATGGAACCCAGAGGCACGCGACAAGAACGGAGAAGGATGGAGACCGGATCTCCACGTGCGTAAACGGCTGCACCTCCACGGCGATCCTCACTCGGTGCTTTTCCCTCGGATATTGCCAAGGACAGGGGCTGGCGTCAGGCCAGCGAGCCGGCGATGAAGCTATCCTAGCTCCTCTGGGGACTGTGCTGATCGGTGCTGGTCTGTTAATTCGGGGGGAGAATCCAAGTGAGAAAATGGGGAGAAAGAAGAAGAAGCAGAAGGAGGCGAGGCGAGCACAACAGGTTGGTTCAGGCCGGCCAAGGCGTCCAAAAGCTCGGCATGGCGGGGTATCACGAACAGAGGGGAGCAGCTGGCTGATCCTTATAAGCACCATCACTTGTGCCACCCTCCCGAACTATGGTCATCCCTTGCATTGGTTCCCCCCAGGCTTGATGCTGACGATCATCCTGGAGACAGTCACTCCTGCTGGGATGCAGCTGGAATGCAAACCTGTCTAGTCCTCACCAATGGAGAGGGGCTTGTGTACGCAGGATGCAGTAGACCGGCTGCTTATTTATGCTCGACGTGAGGTGGTGTTCAGTGTTCAGGAGCTGTCATCGGTCACGTTCCCTTCCCCAGCTTCCCCCAGGCATCCATTTATCTTCTGGCGGTCAAAATATGTCCGTTCTATTGCCTATTGAATGAACCACAAGAGCAGACCGGAGTAAAAAAATCACAAAAAATAGCAAAAGCAACAATGACAAAAACAACAAAAACGATCACAAAAAGAAATGCCCCATGCCGATTCGCCAATTCAATTCACTCACTGTACCATGCTACGAAAGGAATCGTCCCTACATGACCAGAACGCCCAACCCCCAAAGGAAAATGGCGCAAAATGAATCCACCCAAAGACCCGGTGCAGGCCCGGCACCAACTACTTGGTCTTTTTCTTCTTATTCTGTCCCAAGCGCGCTGCAGTAAGGTAAAACTCCTCCTCCGTGGGAGGCTCATTCTTGCGCGACCGCTTGGTCGGGCGCTTCCCGTTCTTGAACAGGCCCTTTTCCACATCATACACCTCCTCCATCTTCTCGAAGAAGGCATCAGCACGGCTGGCCTGCCGCTGTCGGATCAGCGCTGCCAGGTCATTCATGTCCCCTGTGCTCGCGTCCTTCTTTCCCCCCTTGTTCTTCTTCTTGCCGGCCTTCTTCCCCTCGATCTCCTTGCCCAATTGTTCGGCCTCCTTCGCCTCCTTCTGCGCCCGCTTCAGTCGCAGCTGGCGCTTCTTCTCCGGCTCCTCCACGTATTTCTTGTACTCCTTGGTCCGTCCCTCGGCGATCGCCGTATCGATAATGGCGCGGAATCGTTCATCGTCATCGATCACATTACACAGCATCACCGACTCGTAGACCTTATCCAAATCGCCCCGGTGGGTCTCGTATGCAGCCAGCACGTCCTTGGCCTCTTCCTCCGTCCCCTGGTAATCCTTCTTGATCTGATCGAGCGCATTCTCATCGATCGCGGCGGAGAACTGTTCGCGGTAGAAATCCACCCAGTTAAAGTCATCATCTCGATAGACCGCCACCGCCGTGCTGCCAGTCCGGTCATATCGTTTCCGTCGTTTCTCATCAGAGAGGACCGCATAGGCGAACGCAATCTGCTGAAACTTGGTATTGGCCTCTTCTTTCTGGCTCTGGGGAACCTTGTCTGCAATGCGGTCAGAATACGACAATCCATCTGAATACGAACGAGAATATCCACGCACCAGGATGATGCTTCAGCGCCATTTTCTTGTAGGCAGTCTTGATCTGATCCGGGGTTGCATCCTCCTGGACGCCGAGGATGTCATACAGGTCGGTCTCTATGGCCGGTTGAGGGCCTTCGTCCTCGTTATTTTCATCATCACTGTTCCAGGTTGGGCCATTCTCCCAGAAGTCATCAGAGGAACTATCCATAGCGAGTCAGAGTCAAAAAAATGAATATATATGACAAAAAGTAAAAGTTAGTTGTTTTTGTTATGACCTGGAGGTGATTTATATCCTGGACAAGAACATGGATAACACCGAGCGGCGAAGACCTGACAAACGAGACAAACACAAACGCGTGGGACGCGATCCTCTTTGCTTTCCTGATCGGGGTTAGTGGAGTTTGAGCTTCTCCCGCTATCAATCTATGCGGTCATAGTCTGTAACTATTCTCCCCTCATACTATCTTCCTCTCAAACCCCACCTCAATTACACCTCCCTCATTTCCCCAACTCACTCTGAATCTACACCATGACAACCCCCCACCTAAAATACATGCGCACCTGCCTGGACCTCGCCTCCCAAGCCCCCGCCCTCCCCACCAACTTCCGCGTCGGCGCGGTGCTCATCTCACGACACACCTCCGACCCAACCCCAACCTACACCTCCGACATCCTCCTCTCAACCGGCCACACAATACAACACCCAGGCAACACACACGCCGAACAATGCTGTCTCGCCAACTTCGCTTCCCAACATAACGTCCCCCCGGACCACGTCGCCGACGTCCTCCCCTCCGACGACCCAGACCGGAAACTAGTCATGTATGTGACCATGGAGCCGTGCGGGAAACGTCTCTCGGGGAATATGCCCTGCGTGGAGAGGATTATTCAAACCCGCGGGGGTGGGGAGGGGAGAGGTATCGAGAAGGTGTATTTTGGGGTGAAGGAGCCCGGGACGTTTGTGGGGGAGTCTGTGGGAGTGAAGAGGTTGGAGGAGGCGGGGATTGAGTGGGAGGTTGTGGCGGGTTTGGAGAGGGAGATTTTGGAGGTTGCGGTGGCGGGACATGAGGGGTGGGAGGAGGAGGTGGAGAGGGCGATGCGGGGGGTGAGGACGGATTTGGATGCGGTTAGTGAGGAGGAGAGGAGGAGGCAGGAGGGGGTGAAGAGGAATCCGAAGAAGAGGATGATGGAGGGGGAGGTTATAGTTTAGTCTTGGGGATGCCGCGGCGGCGGTGGTGGTGGATGTATTTCAATTGTGTATGGGTGGGTGGAGTGGGGTTGTATGTGTCTATAAGATGTACAGCAATATATCCAGGTCGTTCCTTTGGGGATTGACAGTTTGACGAGTACAGGTCGAATACACCGACTAGTCTTGCTCAAACCACCTATCCTCCAATAATTCTCGTGCCGTAGGTCTATCCCTCCAATCCAGCATCATAATCTTCCCAATAAACAACTTATCCCTCAAAGATACCTCTCGTTCCGTCGTCCGAATAAACGGCGTGGTCTGCGATTGAGGAATCTCATGCATCAGATACAAGATCGCCAAGACCGTTTCCGGGCCTGCAATCTCCTGATATTTCCCCGGAAAGGGCCCAAAATATCTGAACTGCTGTTTCAAGACCTCCAAGTTGTATTCCTCATGGCCATAGGGCACCGTGCGTGGTCGGAATAAGTTAAAGTCACCCCCGTATATCAGGCTGATCAGCTATAAGAAGTGTTAGGCTATAGATTTATATTGTAGACGCGCACAACTCACCACCGTTCCAAAAGACCAGATGTCGGTGGCCGTATTCCAGGGCGTTTCCATCAGTATCTCAGGACTCGACCAGATGGCTGCGCCCACAGGCGTGCCTCTTCTTGCGATGGAGCTGTCGGCGGGGTAACAGCCTCCTAGATCGCCGAGCTGGATCTCGGAGAACCGGTTTTTGCCTTGTTTGTAATTTACGAAGATGTTGTCTGGTTTGACATCTGAGGATTGATTAGCTAAATGATGCGGTGTGAATCCGTTCGAATTAACCTACCTGTGTGCACATATTTATCTTTATGGAGGACTTTCAATGCTTTGAGTATAGATCGTGCAACATATTTAAGCTCCTGACGATTGAGAGTTTTCTTGATAGATGAACTGAGGAGGTTGTCCTCCAGATACTTCAGGATGATGATAGGTGGTTCTGCAGGCTCTTGTACTTCGTCGAGTAATGGTCGGAGATGAGTCGTTGAATGCTGGAAGCGTTTAAGAGCATCTCGTTCATTTTCCACGCGAGGATGGCCTTGAACTCCTTTGACTACGACTGTCTCGTTGGCTTGGTTTCTGCTAAGGCTTAGCCAGGAATTCAGGAGGGTGACTCACATACCGTGCAAACCAAACGGTGTCCTGGATTTGTTTTGTTATGGTGTATTTTCCCAGCCTGCCTCGGAGGGTTTGCCCGAGTTGAAGTAATGACATATGGTGAATGATATGATTTGGTATTCGGACAAGGGAAGTTCGGGCAGCTAGTGAAGAAGAATTAAGGGGGTTGTGGTGCGAGGTATCCCACGTGATGCAAGCATAAACAGCCGGGTATGAGGGATGATATTGCTGTAAATATCATGGACACGTGAGTCTTAAGTACAGATGGTGGCTGTTGATAGCTATAGGTTATGTTTAGTCTGCCAGTCTAATTCACTTCTGAATCAAGCTAGTAGGGGTCAAGATGCTCTTCAACAGCTCTGCCAGTTTGGCTATACTTTCTGTTCTGAATAGATGTAGCGCAGATCTCAATTAGTAAGAATAGTAAGAACTTGAGAACTCATAGAACCCTCGCGATGTTGAAATTATCATAGAGGCTTCACGTGGTGTCATTAAGCTTCTCCGCAGTCCACACGAGCTTCTCGGTAGATCTGCAGATGCGGGGAAGCAAGATACTTTCATTCGATGAATGGCAGCACGAACAGTCATGTTCTCACCAGGGAATTGATCTTGCCAGATGTCATCACTCCATCGCATGTTAGAGACCCTTCATTTCTCCGCATAAACACATTCCCAGGGGGGAATCCCGCGATGACGTCGACCACTCCTTGCTCCCGCGATCGATCGATCTCCGCAGTACATAAATAATCGCCAACGAACACGATTCCACTCCACAAGCTCTCCTCAATTCATTGCTCTTTTTTGAATCCAACAACATGCCCTGGTCCGCCGCGCTGCCCCAGGCGATTTTCGCCCACCCCCTTGTCTCCGTGGTGACGCCCATCACCACCGGCTCGCTCGTCGGCTATTACACCAATCGTGAGCTTGCCCCATTCCCCTAGATAGACCATCGCATGCATCACTAACACAGACCAGGCAAAGGCAGGACAAAGCAAATCTACCACTCTCTCAAGAAACCACCCTTGTATCCACCCACCTGGCTCTTCCCATGCGCATGGACCGCCCTCTACGGAATGATGGGCTTTGCGATCCACCACGCGACCGTCTCAGGAACCATTGCGACAATGGATTCCTCGACCATCGTACAAGACTGGGCTGCCAAGTCCCAAACGCTATATATCTCGCAACTCGCGTTGAATCACCTGTGGATGCCCCTGTTCTTTATGCTCCGGAAACCGGCCTGGGCACTCGCGGATATCTTGTTGCTGGGAGGGAACGTGGCGGCGTTGATGCATATCTGGTGGAAGCATGATCGCGTGGCGTTTTGGTTGATGGCGCCGTATGCGGCGTGGTTGGGATTCGCGACGTATTTGAATGCTGGGGTGGGGATGTTGAATCAGTGGACGATTGGAGAAAAGAAGCGGGAGTGATTGGTTGCTCTAATACTATTGGATTTCCGTATGGGGTGAGATTGTTTTGAGTCTATCCACCGAATTTTCCTGTCACTATTAATGGCTACTGGTCGAACGCTCCATCAATAAGTCACTTCATTCAAGGCCCTTCCCATGTTCTTCCTATGCTTGCCGTACCCATCCATGATGTCCCATCTACGCTAGTCAAGAACATGGATAATTTCAAATGAGTCTATTAGGAATGTTCGAAGGGTCGTCGAGAGCTCGATCATCGATCGCTGGCAGAGAACAGCAGTATATGTGGTAGATGCTTATCAATCGCATAACAGGATCTACCGTAGACAGTTCAGATGCCTGTAAGTTAGATATAACTAATCCACACAGAGATGATACGCCGCAGTAGAGTATCCATTAAACCTCATTCTATAATACCCTATAGAAACCACCCTTATCACCACCTGACCCCACGTGATCCCGATAACCACTCCTCCCCTCACCAACAACAAACACTCCACTCCTCCCTCTATCAACCCACCAACTCCCCAGTCAGAACCCCTTCCACCCCAAGCCATGAAAATGGTCCCATGGCGACAGCAGACAACAATGCCCTCCCATTCTACCCAGCATTCTGCTTCCAAGCTTCCCCAACCCACTTCACCTGGGTGAAGATAGCCGCGGTGGATGTGCTTCGACTAAAAAGACGGGCAGAGTATCCAGGTATGATTTGATTCCATTGCAACTGCTGCCATATACAATATACTCATCTCACACTGCATCCAGACCAACAAACCTACTTCTACACCAACCACCCCATCCGCTTCATCTCCCTCGTGGGCATAATCATCGCCTGCCACGATCTCCCCACCCGAACAATCCTCACCCTGGATGATAGTACCGGCGCAACGCTCGATATTGTTGTTATCAAAGGCCCTGAGCCTAGCACCTCCACCACTGTCACCACCACCACCACCACCACCAGCAGCCCCGCCACACACATCTCCCCAACCACCCAGACCCCAATCGACATCACCCCGCTGGTACCAGGAACGCTCACGCACGTAAAAGGAACAATCTCGACGTTCCGCAACACCAACCAACTGCAGCTGGAACGGTATTTTCTGATCCGGGACACGAATGCGGAGATGCGGTTTGTGGAGCAGCGGTCGCGGTTTTTGGTCGAGGTGTTGTCGGTGCCGTGGCGGTTGGGAGGGGATGAGGTGGAGAGGTTACGGGGGGAGATGGAGGAGGAGGAGGAACGGGTGGAGGAGGAGCAGGAGCGGGTGAGGAGGAGGGAGAGGAGACGGGTGGAGAGGGAGGAGAGGGATGCGAGGAGGATTCAGAAGGGGTGGGAGTGGGAGGAGAGGGTTAGGGCGAAGGAGGCGGGAAGGTGTCGGGAGAATGGGGTGAGGGTTATGAGGGAGATTGAGAAGAGGAGAGGGGAGGGGGTTGATTTGAGTATTGGGGGTGGTGATGGTATTCCCGAAAGGTAATTATTGATACAGGGAGGAGAAAAGCCTGATTACATCGTGAAGGGACAGTCATGGCAGAAGAAAGACAAAGCCAAATGAGAATAACGGTGGAAACGTTATCATAAGTCATAAGTCATAAACGGATATCTCTTTTCGGGAAAGCGCCAAAACGAACTTCAACATACGCTGTCAAGGAAAGCAGACTGCTGTCATGTATCACCTCAAACCATACCCCTTGTAATCGTACCCGGTGCCCCCCCGATAGTAGTCCTCGTCACCACCCCAGCTGCTTCGCTTGAGCTTTTCTCGCTCGTTCTCTCGCTCACGAAGCGAGTCGTATAGCCTTTGATCGTCCCGGTCATGGTCAAGGTCGTGGTACCGGCGACGGTCTTCGATGATGTCGCCCGGGAGGGTGTTTGCAGTGGAAGTGTAGTAAAAGTCCCCGTCAGAGATTCCCTGGTACCGAGAGCCACCATTGTGGCCTAAGAGATCGCTCTCGGAGTGCCGGTAGTCGCCGCCGGCATGAGCCCGTGACGGACTGGGTGATCGTCCAAAGGTAGTCGTAGGGCGCTGTGAGTTACTGGTGCCGGGACGCAAGTGGTAAGGGTCTTGACTGTACGTCTCCGACGTTCGTGGTCCCATCGTACTAGGACCATCGCGAGGCCCAGAGCCTGCGGACATCGAGTTGGCATGTCGATGGCTGGGCGTGCCAGGCTCCTCGTAGACTTTGCCGCCTCCAGGCTGCGCCGTGTACGGTTTCCTCTGGCGCTCAATAGGACGTGACGGCGCCTCTTGATCGTCATCGTCGGCAACAGCAGAAGACGACGTACTATAGTAAGGCTGGCGTTCGCGCTCCCCCACTGAAGGGGTCGAGTCAACAGAGGTCACCGATGCTTTGTGCACAGTCTTCCTGTGACGTTGTGCAGCGACCTGTTTCAGTTCCTCCTCCGTGATCGGAGGCAATTCAACGGCGCAATATTTGATGAGGTGCTGATCTATCTCCTCCCTCAACGAGAGGTCCGGCGTGTCAGGGAACAATCGCCGTGGTATTTCCTTGGGAAATCTCTCGCTTCTCTTGTCAGGGTTGCTGATGGGCATGTTTAGCACCGCTTTCTGTAATCGATCGTACTCTTTCTCGGGATGGGCCTGGATCATTAAAGTTGCCCAACGCTCGAAGCCGCGCGGAGTCAGGCCTGGGGTATCAGGTCTCTCATTCAGGTTATTTTGCACTAGATGATGCTCTACTTGTAGCTCGCGAAGCAATCTCGAAATCGATGATGTATGATCGTCAAAAATGTCTACAGAGGTTCAAGTCAGCAACACCGCGTTACAGCAGAAGATCATCGGTGCTAACCTTGCCAAGGGTAAGGATCTGACGACACGCTCGTATCCTCATAAAACTTTTGCATCTTCCCCGGAACTACGACCAGAGTGTTTCCGGGCGGGTACTCTTCAATCTGATCAGACAGACTCGTAAGCGTCCAGAACTCTCCTATTGCAGAGCTGCACTTACAAGGTGGACTGCGATTCCTCGCAAGAACTGGCCAAGTCTTTCTGTTGGCTTGCCGTCTTCGAAAAGCTTGCCCCAGATTTTCTCCAGCGTTGTCATCTCCGTTACCGTAGCTTCCCTCGACGGTGGCTTTGGTCGAGACTCCATATTATGGCTCTGACCGCTGAGCTGGCTTGCTGGAGACCCTTGTCTCTTTGTCGACTGTCCTAAGGATGATCCAGGAAACAAATGAGGGCTACTAGGATGTACAGGAGGCGGTACAGGTGCCTGGTAGTCCGTATCTCCCGTAGGAACCTTGGGGGGTAGCGGAGGGGTGTTTTGCGGCCTCACGGGGGAGTGCGTCGGTTCCCCATAAATAGAGCTTGCTGGAGGCGCCCATTGTGGCGGGGGCTGTGACGGCGGTTGCTCGCTTTGCAAGTTATCCAATCCCGTCGCCTTCAGCTGTTGTATCACCGTCGCAGTTATCTGAGAAACGACCTCGGGAGACAGATAGCCTGGCTTGTCAGCCTGATGAAAGGCTGAATTCACAGCCTCGTTAATTCTTCCGGTCGGCGGCTGCTGGTGCTGTTGCCATGGAGCTGGCTCATAAGGCTTCGGATAGTAACCGGCCGGAGAAGAGGAGGTCGGAGGGACTTGAGGCTGAGGCATATTGATCTGCTCGGACCCATATTGCGAAGGGTAAGGCGGGGTGTATGACGAGGCACGATTTTCGTTCGGGTTGCCATGGTTCATGGGTCCAAACTGCGAGTAGGGGGGACTGTTGGGGAAGCTGTTGTAAGCCATCGTGACCGTTGCTGGGGCGCAGGACGCCGGATCAGTGTTGTGTTGCCTTGCGCTCTCACGAGCCCAAAACGATCATCCAAGCTAGCCTTGTGGATGAGTACTGAGGCTAACTCAATTTAAAGAGGGTCAAATAAATATGGAGAAGGATAGCCTGGATGCGACAATCGTGTGGCAACGTGCAGAGAAAGAGTGGGAACAAAGAAAGAGAAGGAAGAGAAGGAAGAGGGGCGGCGACGACGGAGGGGCACTGGAAGAGGCGGATGGTGAAACGGACGGTGTAGCGAGCTGGACGGAATCTCCTCGCACAGCAACTGACGGCAGCGGAGATATACCCAGCACTATGCCACAGGTGGATCGAAGGAAAAAGAATCCCGGAATCAAAAACAATGAAGGTGTGGCAGCTCCAGTGGGTCGTGCAGAAAACAGAAAGAAGAGTAGCGACTGTGAAGAAGACTCTAGAGCATACGTCATTGCCGGCTGCGGGGAACCGCATCGATTATTCGATTGATTTGTTTGTTGCCCGCGTCGCCTGGCCCAATTCATGGACTTTGGGCGGCGATGACGAGGCATGGCTGCTCGGTTCTATCCATGTCCGTTCCTGTGGCACAATTGTAGTCTCTTAGTTTTAGACGCCCATCTATCACGAAGTGTCAGCCTGCTAGTGTCGACTCAACCGGATATATACTCGTGGACCTACTCGACAACACCCATGGACCATGGTTGATATGCGGGAACGGACCGTATCCCTGGAATTGGCCTGACGACCCAATGAAACCGAAATGTCAATTTATTATCATCCTTGGAAATACAGCGGCTGCACCTGCTTCTTACCCATGACCTGCCAGTGTCTCCAGCTACCACAGTACATGTGTTGCATTCTGTTTAATAAGGGAAACAAATCAATGAAGAGAAGAAAAGGACCGAAAGGTGAAAAGTAAACCCGAAATGAAGCTCTCAGTTGGACCCAATGTTCCGACAACTCAGCACGATCGCCGCAGCACATAGCCTTGTCCTTGGGAAGCAGGCCGGCTCACAGGAAGCTATCCAATTCATTGTCTTCCTCCTCGTCGTCAGACGGGATAGTCTGGCCGGTGGACTCGGGAATTCTCATACTGGGGCCTTCACCCTTTTCGAATCGATAGCCCTGCGAAAGACAATTGTTACTATCGTCCACCCTGGACAAAACTGGTGTCTCGTATACTTACTCGGATCTTGGCAAACTTGGGCTCCTTCTTCCTCATCGGTCTGGTGTCATCACTGGCATCCTTTCCGGAGGGCCTGTTCTTCACACCCCAGGCTGCCCATCCGCTGTGCATAGAGCCGGTTCCCTCAGCAGGCTCTTCGCCCTCAGTCCGGACGGACAGGCGGTGGGATTTTCCCTGGGGGTCGTATCCGATGAATGCCTTCTCCTTTCCAGGGCGACTGCTATTTTCGTCTATATTTTCCTTTTCCACGAAGACACCGCCACCAATGGACTGGTCGTCATCATCGTTGCCGTCGTCGCCGTCGTCGCCGTCGTCGCCATCGTCGCCATCGTCGTTGCCGTCGGTAGAGCCTTGGATGCGCTTCGAAGATCCCGCCACGGAGCTACCATCAACCTGGCTCTTCAACTCTGTCAGCAACTGGAACCAAGCCTCAGGTTCTGTAGGGGCTATAGAAACACCAACCATGGTCGAGCTAGCGGCAGTAGATTCGCCATCAGTAATCATCTTGGTTTCGTCGACGAGAGGTTCGGTCTCGGCACGATCCTGCACACAGTTCAAGCATTTCTGTTCGTAGATGGCAGGTTAGCTCACTGGTCCCTTTCCGCTATAGATGCAGACAGCATACCGCAGCGTCGCGTGCCTGCCGCTGGTTCTTTGCAAACTCATCCACGGCCTTGACCCGGTCACAGGCGGCGCACTTGAGCTCAGCGAGACTTCCTCCCGTGCAAGTCAGGCATCTGGCATATCCACTGGTAGTAGCCCGGACTCCCTGAACCACTACAGCATTGCGTAGCGCGTCCAGCTGACGATTGGAAAAGGCCTGGATGTACCGAAACTTCTTGCACGTTCCGCACTTGATCCTATGTCTTGTTAGCCATCCTATCCAAGGACACTCACAAACGGAAGCGGGCGAGATTCACTTGTCTGGAAGAACGACATTGTCTATCCTAGAGTGTTGTCAGTTCCAGTGGTCCGGATCACGCGGGGCACATAACTGACTGTCTCCTGACTGATTGGCTGTAGCCCCCAGAATAGGCATTACGGGTTCCGGGGCCCAGCTTTCGTGAACTCATTGTGAAAGCAAGCACTGAGACAAACGCAGTATGCCGAGAACAGTAGTCCGGGTCAGAGAGATGGTCGCCGAGAACTGCTAAGGAATCCGGATCGAAGGAGAGTGATCCACGGATAGGAAACTGTGTTGTCTTTTATACGCTGGTGTGAAGAACTGTAATTACACACTCGTCACCATGGCATCCTAAGCGAGATCCAGTGTTCCTAGTGAAGGGAGCCTCAACGAGCAGTGAAGGGTGTAGATGATCGCATTCACCAGTGATATCAGAGGCAGTTGGGCACCAGTCACAAGTCAAGGATATAAGACAACTCGTGAAAGAGAGGCGGTGGCGGTCAAGAGCATCATGAGCCTTGATTCATGGCTGGAAAGTTCCATTCTAGAAGGAAGTTCACGTTGTCTGACTACGCAGCAAGCGGCAAGTGGCAGTCAACCCAACCATGCTGGTATTATTGAATACGGCAAACACCGTATTTCTCCCATCCAAAATGGAATGTTTCGCTCAGTCTGGACGAGAACCCGCGTTTGCTGCTCAGAGGCTATTCTCGTGGCCGGTCATATTCATGGCCAATTGTCTGCCAGCTTGAGAGATGACCCTGGTACGAGCTGCACTGTCTGGCAAACACCTCGTCGCCAAAGTTAAACAGAGGTCTTGGACTTTGGGGACTCGTCCACAGGCCACTTGTTTGTTCCCCATTCGCTTGGGGCAGTAGGATATCACTACATGGCTTTGGGGAGATTCTGGAAGCTCATTGTAGAGCAAAGCACTACGAGATATGTTAACGGAATATCAGAATGAAGAAGAACGTGATGACGTAGTACCATATCAAATCGATGGTTCCAGCGAATGAGGGGAAAAAGAAACATAGAGCCAATGACAGTGCAGAATTCAGACATCCCACCTTCTCGTAGCCTACCAGATGCACTCATGAGGTGGACATTTACCCTTGTCGGAGGTTCGACGGAGTCCTCCGTCGGCCCCCATCGATCTACACCGGGTCGGAAAATAAAGAAGAGAAAAAAGGAGATCTAGCATGCATCTTGGCGGGAGGAATGCAGACACCCTGAGACTACTGCAAGTCCCGACGGCTAACCCAGCAATCATGTTTCGAATCCGTGGCAAGACCAGCCTGATTCACATCGCGATTGGTTGGGCATCCTGAAGATGTCTTTGCTGGCTGGAGCTGATCAGAAGGAGGGCCTACAGAGCACCCACTGAAGGGTGGCTCCCATGTAGGTCATGTCGGTAGGGAAGAGCAAAGACTGCCGCGAGAGATGGAGAATGCACGTCGGCTCTGATGCATGTCTGGTTGGTACCTGCCTAAGTCAGGATGTTGGTACTTTTGGCCACTCTGTGAAAGGTCAAGGACCAGAACTCTGGGAATTAATAATGTGGGATCGTTAGTGGCGTTCCAGAAGCATGTCTAGCCGTCTGGTGCTGCAGGGAATGCTTTGTTGATCCTCCACGGCGCTCCGTAGTCCGCAACTCGATGGCCGATGAATGGCCACCTTCATGATCATTACCCATCGTTAGTCCGTTCCCTTTCAACGGTCAACTTCCACCCGGGAGGGGATGCCGCTCGATACGACGAGCTTCTTTTGCCGAGACAGGCCACTTGAGCGATTTTGGTGGCCGGATCTCCTTCCCTGCCGTTTCCATGAACCTCCTCCATCCTTCTGGAACGCTCCTGGAATGCGACGGCTTCGAAAGCTACTGACATAGTTGCATGGCTAAGAGATCCTTGAGGATAGGCGGAGTGGCTAGCGAGACAGGTCGAATGGCTGCGAGACAGTCAGGAGACCCAGGGGATCCGTTTGTTGGTTACGGATCCGTTTGGGGGCTCCATCACAACCTCACCATTTGTGCTGGGCGCAAAACTACTGGCCAGCGACGGGACCGGGTCTGTCGGGTAGCGGGGACGGGCCTCACGCCGAGTGGGGATCCGCATTCCCCGAACCCCCCCGGCGCAATCACCAGGTCCACAGAAATCCGCATGCGCTGCCCACTCACTGTCTCCCGGCTGGAGGGAGATGAGCTCCACTGTCTAGGATCCTGGGCGCAGTTGGCTGGTAGCTCAGACGGCCGGTGGTCGACTAGACCCATTGGCTTCACCAGTACCACGTCTTCCGACCTCTGATCTATCCATTTGGGACGGGAGCCCATCTCCGGTCGTCTAGGACTCCGGTCCCAGTCATCCACCCTTCCCTTTCTGCGCTGGTGCCCGAAACTTTCCAAGAAATGGCACTCATTGGGTTGTCCCCTTCCCAATCGCTCCCACAAAGTTTTTGCCTTTGTTGTCACTTGTCACTAACCTCGGTGGGCGTCTTGGGATGAACAGCCGGGGATGTCTGATAAAAGAGGGGATGTGGAACAGAGGTACGGAGTAAATAAACAAATAAACCAGACTCCGTAGTAACAGAACTACTAATAGACAAAAATAAAAATAAAAATTCAATAGTATGTGCAAACAGAGCCCGTCGCCCGTCGCCCGGTAGCGGAAGAACTGAGAGCAAAGAAAACGGAGAATATGTCACGCCGGCAAGATTACGAGTCGAGATTTTCGCACTGCCGACCCCTCTATTTTCTTTTTTCCCTTCTCAAAGACCATCTGGTCTATCTCTCTTCCCCTCATCCCCTCATTCCCTCAAATCAATCAGAAGAAATACGAAGAAAGCCAAAGAACTAATCCTCAAAAGAGGGGCCTCAAAAAGACGGTGACTGTGCACCACCGAATGGATCAATTGAAGCCTGTCATCGGTCAAGTGACACAAGCGGTGACCGACCCATCCTAACCTCCCTAGCTATGTAGTCTGTACTATCTAATTCTAGACCCCTTTTTGGCATATGTATGTCCAGTCATCAAAAACGGATCTTAACGAGGAGTCGACACTAAGCTTAGCACACCCCGTAGGTGCGGTGTGCAGCAGTGAGCTCTCGATCATACGCGTCTTCCATGGGTCCAGAGCAGACTTGACCACCCTCAAGACATGGCTTCTCCATCTAGGTAGCAGGTATGACCCATCACCCGCCACCGACTTGACAGGCGGACCTCAATTCTCCTATCAGGGAAATACCTGCTCGATCTTACTTCGTACGGAGTATACATAGTGGAATGGTGATTATGAATCCACCCGCACTATCTATCTACCTTGGATGCCTTGTAGTTGTGGGTATGAAGGTTCTATTCAATTGTCGCAATTGTAGGAGCGACTCTACTATTGCTACCAATTTGATAGCTCCTTGCCCATCAATCATCTAGGTAGTAGGTACTAGGTATCTAGGTAGTGAGTTGTCGATGTCATCTTATCATAAGATCGACCATGATCACCCCACATTGCAAGGGTAAACCGGAAAGCCTGGTAAATGGGACTATTTATGCGCCATTATGGACTCAAGAATTGGTGCATTCAGTGGCGAAGTATCTGCCTATTACTGTGTATGGTGTATAGAAGGAACTGGATCGGTGGTCACTGTGGTAACAGCTATCTATTTCTAGTAGTAGTAGACTACTCCGTACAGGAAAGACTGCCGTTTCGGTTGATGGTACGATGTACGGAGTACTCTGTAAGATGTACTTTGTACAGCCCACTGGATCTGATCTCGCAGATGCACAGGCTTACCTACAGGGGATCAACGTCGCTTGATGTATAAACTGCCTTTTCATGTATGTATCGTGAATCAACTAATTATACATATGCATCGTCTCCGTACTTTTGGCTTGGCGGTTTGGCCTTATGGGGTAGTGTGATGCCTCTGCTCCGTACTCCGGAGAGTTACCGACTGAGATGGCTGGGGACTGTCTCGCGTATGCCGTACCCAGTAGCCGATACATACTGACGCGAAGGTGAACAGAACTCAGTCCGGGACGCAGACATGCGTAAGTATCGACAGCATGCTCGAGTACGGAGTAACTCGTACATGTTTATTGCTCTAAGAGTGAGCTAAATTGAAACTCCGTGAAGCGCCATATTTGTCTTGAACTCTGAGAGCATCAAGCACGGGCATGGAGAGTCCTCCATAGCTGATTGGAACAACATGTCTGCCCCTCCTCGGACATACCTAGGATTAATCCTTCGACGAGGTTTGTTTTTCAAGGTACTTCCTTCAGCATGAAAAATTTTCATCATCTGCTCACCCGAAGCACCAATGATATGATGAAACCGGCGCTACTCCTGCTTCAGTGCCATCTCCGATCTCATTCAATTATTCAATTTCGTCCAAGCATCCTTGCCGTTTCACCCATCGAAAGTGATACACATGTAGGTTATCCAGGGTGAGTCCACCGGCATACCCGGAGGGGCAAGTATGCAAGCCACATCTGTCTCGATGGGGGTGGCAGCATCTGGGTAACAGTTTCCGGGCTCGATTTGAAGATCGGTCGTTACAGTGAGTGGGTAGCGTTGCCATGTTGGCGGTCAGCCACCTAAGCACTGAGGAGGCGACGGAAGTACGGGGAGCATACATGTCCAGCCACTGTTGGCTGGAGACATTGTTCAAGACAGCAGATGAGCGATCATTAATGGATCCTGATAGCAACCTGCATGAACTGTAACTGTCCACACAGCCTGTAGGCATCTGTATCCTCTGCTCGATCCTGTGGATCCATCCACCGACTCACCTCCATTCTGAGAGTGTCCGTCAGTGCCAAAACAGGCATTATGGCGACTTGGCTGGCCGGTCGACTATTTAACGCTCCCATCTAGCAGCATCGCAGCAAGGAAGAATCTTAACTCAAATCTTGATTTCATTGCAGCTCGCCTTCCTTTGTCTGCTCCACGGCCATGTCGATGAGGTAATGGGGGTATCACATGCAACCCCTAAGGGGGATGGAAGATACGAGGCGAGCGATCTCTCATCCCGTCCGCCATGGCGAGGTGTACATGTCACATTACTGAGGCCGAGAGTCTGATTCTCCGAGACCCTGGGTGGGATGGCCAAGCAGGTCGCATCCCTCAGCGAGTGTGCAGGCAGGAAGCAAGAGACGCGGCCCAACCCCTGGCCATCCTTGCTAGCGCCCGTCTAACGATCACTAGAGGCGGAGACCAAGTGGAGTCTATTAAGGCTGGACCTCCCAAGAGCCCAGAGTCTTCAAAGCGACGTGTGATGGTGACTGGTCGTATGGC